GCTGCCGCTCTGATGACGAGTTGTGTGTTCAACTTCATCACGGCGCCCTTGATTCTGTGCCTGATGGACGGCGGGTGCGAGGAGGTGTCGGTCACCTCTTTGCGGGGAATGTACGCCCGGACGATAGCCGGAGCGTGTTTCGCGTCCGCGTCCGCCTTGCTGTGCAAGTGCGGTACGACGGTGCCGATCTACAAGCAGACGATGGAGGCCCACGACGTGTACTCGCCAACGACGGTGGCTGAGCGCAGGGACCGCTCGCTGTTCTGCGCCCTGTACGTCACGCTGTGCATGTCCGTCACGCTGCCCATCAACGCGCTGAGGCTGTCACTGCTGTACCGCAACCGGTCAGACCCTATCGTGTTGGTGTTCTTCGTATTCATGTACCTGGAGAACGTGGCCATGTGTCTGGGCGAGACGTGCTTCGTGACGTGGTGCCGCACGCTGAGCAACAAGTTTCTCGTGATCAACCGGGACCTGCAGCTGCTTGGCGAGGAGATGGCCACCGTCAACGATACGGCGGCGGGTAAATCGATAACCACCGCTTTGATCGCGACGACGGTTACCGCCGCCACCGCGGCCGGACGGCGGGTTACCTACGGCGGCGATTTCTACGGCGGTTCCGGCGAACAGTCGATCGCCAACGCCGTGGAGGTGATACGGATCCGGCACCAGCTGATCCGTGACGCCTTGTCCGTGCTCGTCGACCTGTTTGGCGTCCCGGTGGGCCTGTCGCTGCTCACGTTGGGCGTGATGACGCTGTTCGACATCTATTACCAGGTGTCCGACGTCATGGGAGCTGACTCGAGGCTGATGATTTTCATTTACATGTGGCTGTTGCAGTACACCATCAGGTTTTCCACAATCGTTATGACGGCGCACTACACTACCAAACAGGTAAGCCTGGTAACCAACCACGTGCCTTTTAAAACTTAAAACCTATTCATTATTTTATATTACACACCAAGGTGGAATGATCCACCTTGTTATATACACTATAATATTATACCGCCATTGAGTAGGTACCTATACTCAATGACACTACGTTTGTAAACCATGGATATTTGTATTTTTACATGCTAAATAACATAACTCAAACTAAAGAAGGCTTTTGATATAAATAAATATAATAAACGATATATCGACGCTCCCTCACTGAAACTAACATCAGTAGAATAGTAAGTACCCTTGGATTTAAAAACACTTCGAAGTTACCACTTAAACGCAGCAAAGCCGGGTTAACAGCAACGTCGTATTTCGTGTCACTTATATGTTCTGATTGGCCGTTGTAATCATGTATCATTTACTAATCATGATTCATGATCTACAGGGAAATTGTCCATAGTTATAACTTTTTTAACAATCGTAAGAAGCCAGATTTTCGATATATTTATTAATTAGTTAAATAATTAATCGTTAAAAAATTTTAAAAACCGTTTACCATTCGATATTGGACGATTTGAACAAGATTCCAAAAATCAAAAGAAACTTTTCAAATATTTGTCTAAAAAATATTTTTATGAAATAATATGCACTAATGATTGTAAAAAATCGACTATACGCCAAATATGCCTTTACACCAAAAAAAAAAAATACATGCAAAAAAATGCACTTTCAAACTTCATATATTATTATTACTATTGTTATGAAACGGATTTTTAGCAAAAAAAAAATGCAGATTCATGAACTTACGAACCCTGGTTATCAACATTTTAATCGTGATCTCAATTTTATTATGAGTATAAATAATGCATTTATGCTTAGGTATTAATACGTATTTAAAAACACGTCAATTGAAAAAAAAACAATAACGGTTTCCAATTTTTTTAAATTTCGGTTTTAATTTTAATACCGGTTTCCAATTTTTAAGGTTTCAGTTTTGACTTTAATACTGGTATCTAATTTTTTTCGGTTTCATTTTTGATTACTGTTTGGGTTTCGGTTTAAAACGGTTTATACCGGTTTCTGAAATTGGTTTTAAAAACGGTTTCAAGCCCTGATCAAAAGTATTAAAATATTTACCTACAATATTATTCAAATATTTTACAATACTGAATTCATTATATCGGTATATTAAAACAATGGCATCGATATTAAAATATTGATAAATCATATTAAGAATCATTGCATAACTATATATAATATGTACATTTGTGCAATCAAACATTCGAAACATAATACAAACATTCACTATGTGAATTCTTTGTCAGTTTTAATACTAATATTGTTTTCGTTTACTTAATAACCTCTCTCTAATCAAATTTGGGAAGTACCTACAAAAATATATTAATTACGTAGGTAATATAAAAAAAGCATTCCACTTTATTCACGTTATGATTATAAAATATATAAATATCTGTTATAGGCACTCAAATCAAAAATATTTATAACGGATATAAACAATCGTTATTTAGACAATAATACAAAAGAAGAGGTAAAACTGTTTCTTAAAATTATGATTTTATTAAAAATGTAATATATTACAAATTTAATTTATTATATTCACAGTTACAGATATTCCTTAATCAACTTTCCAATTGTTCGATTGAAATTACTGCTTACGATTTCATTACTTTAAACACTCATCTGATATCTTCTGTAAGTTGTCCATGCATTGTACGAAAAGAAACATCTAAAGCCTCAGTTAGAATTAGAATTTTCAAAAAGAATATATATTTTTTTAATTTTGAGTGATATCATTTTTTGATTAACGTTTAAATTTTTATTGTATTTAATAGGCGATTGTAGCTGGAACAACATACCTCGTAATATTATTACAGTTTGATTCAAATGATGATTAAATGAATAAAACAATTCATTTACTGTGTAAAGGTGTTCTGCTTAATTTTGTAACAATATAATTTATTTAATTAATAGTTTTAGTACTCTTATTTATAATATTGTATACAGATATAAATAAAATATTGTTAATGTGTAATAAACTGAAAATACATTTTATTTTGATGATTATATTAATATCAGTGGTGATGATACCTTAATATTGTATTAATATTAGTGATTGTGAGGTGCAAGATTGTTCAGGTCGCGAGGCCTGTTATCTTATCAGCCATCTCGTTACAGGTAATGACAACATATTTAGAACCCACATAAAATCCATGTTTTTTTTTTTATAAATTTTCATTAGGTTTGAATATTCTGGGTTATTTTATTTGTCGAGAAAGCACCTATGGTCAACCTTAGACCTTGGTAATGGATGTGATCCATAGTAATCAGGACATAATTTTTTTTTAAATAGTTTATTATGATTCCATAGTCAATTTTTGAAAGTATAGATGCTTTGTAAATTATAAGGCTCTATTCTAATAAGCTCTTATTGTATCGGATCCAAAAACATTGTTTCCGAGCATTTTGGTTGTCTTTTGTCTTTATTCATAATAAACATTCATGGTTGGGTTTTTTTTTTTTTGTTAACAATGACATAATATAGTTATTTAAAAAAACATAGTTATTCAACTTATGGTAGCAAAATGTGTAGGTACAATGTACAATGTAACTAGATATGATATATTGTAATAGTATCTAATTATTTTCCATTTGTACCTATACATAACGTTCTAAGCTAGTATATATCACGACCAACTTACTAAACGACCAATTTCAGACAACTAATTGACGTAAATAATATCTATGATTCCTATATTTTTCTTACAGATGAAAAATATTTATAGTAGCACGCAGACGCACGCTACTAAAAGGTCTCAACAGTATTTTTTTTTCCAATCAGTGTTATATACTTTTTTGAACTATGCGATTTTCGTCTGAACACTGAGAAAATATCCGTGTGCAGTGTAGATCATGCGTCTGGAGTTAAGTGATTTTGTGTATATATAGCCACATAGTTCTTTGAGTTTAGTTGATTCAAGAATTTGAAGCGTTTATTTAATATTTTTTCTAAGAGTTTGCGTGTCGTGTTGATCTATAATTTGTCGATATCAAATTTACTTTTACATGGGTACCTAGGGTATATTTATATTTATAATAATTTTAAATAACACTTCTTTAACAATATCTATATTGACTATATTTACTACCTGTTGTCGATTGCCAAGTGGCAATTTTTTTTTAACAGCACAAATACTTGTCTTACAATCAAATTTAAATTAAAAAAATATATTTTTATAATATTCTGTAACTTTCTTAGAACTGTAATGTATTCTTCCTGTATTTTCCTACTCAAATGTTATGTACCTATTTTGTTATTTAAAACACACGAACTGATGTATTTAGCCCATTCGTTGAATTTATAAGTTGTGTACACATTTGGACATACAGAACACTATATTATATTATATAGATGTATATAAATACTAAACACACATTATAATATAATGATGACGACTTCGTGGAAAGAACGTGTCAAAAGTCGATGGGGGGTGGAAAACGAACGCTTAAATGTTAGGTGATGGTTAAGTAGTGGCCTGTAGCTGCAGTCCGTAGCTGTCCGTCACTGATGTCCTTTGGCGCATGCGCAGTACATTATGTGTACTTATACCCAGTGCGGATAGGCTTAAACATATTATATAGCCTAGCTGACGTTATAAGTAACACTCGTTTCGGAATCGACCGAATCATTTGCAAAGTGTAGGTTTTTTCTCGCCACACGATTAAAATAGGAATCGTGAATGTAGGTACAGTAATATTAAATAGGTATAACTAGCCGACGGGGCGGTGTTTCGACTGGAAAAACAAGAAGCGACGGTCGTTGTTGATAGACAGCAGCAGTCTGCTACGCTGCACAACAAAGAAGACAATATTATTATCCTAAGGAATTTTTTCAACTGCGCTTTAGGAGAGGCAATCAAATACGGATCTTATACAGTATAAGGTGTACATCATTCTGTCAAGTGACTAGGTATAGTGTAAAAGAGATAGCACTTTTCATATAATATCCACAAATGCGCTTATCACGATAAGACCTGGTGGATAACATTATTATAAAGAGTCGCAACGTCCCCTCCCCCCAGTGCACATCGAAAGCGGGGATGGTTCTGCGCGACAATCCCGGGACGGTGATGTCCGCGGCGTTGTTTCTATCGTGCCTGTATAACTACGCAAGGTCGCAGGAAGTGATATGCTCTCTGGGCGACTGCAGAAGCACGACGACCACGATCATCATGGCGATGTTCCCTCGGGCCGTGGCCGTCGGATGCATGGTGTCCCGGGCAGCCGTGTTGTACAAGAACGTGACCGGCGCGGTGGCCGTGTACGAGGGCAAGATTGCCGAGTACGAGGCGCACTATCCGGAAGACGCGTGCGGCGCGCGCTTCCGCCGGGCGTTCGTCACCATTGTCGTGGTCACGTGCGCCGCGATCATCATACCGGTGAACGTGTACCGGATCCACCTACTGTACCGCCAGTACCGAAGCAGCGGGCTCATCGTGTTCCACGCGCTCATGTACGTGCAGAACGCGAGTACGTGCGTCACCGAGTTGCAGTTCGTCGTCTACTGTTTTGGGCTGTGCCGCATGTTCTGCCACATGAACGGCGACATGTCGGCGCTCAGGTCCGAGGCGATCGTCGTCAACCGGTATCCACCGGTGTTGATGACGTGCCGTCCGCTCGGCGCTACCACCGAACTCTGCAGTGGGCCGTCACTCGTCGACGGCGTCGAGAGGCTCAAGCTCAGGCACCAGTTCATCAGCGGCGCTGTCAGAGACCTGAACGCGCTGTACAGCTTCCAGCTGGTAGCGTCCCTGTCCGTTCTGTTCGCCATGTCGCTGTTCGACATATATGGCGTCGTGTCTAACGTCGTCAAGACGGCCGACAGCCATCTGTTCTTCTATGGATGGGTGTTGCAGTACGCGTTTAGGTTCAGCATGATCGTGCTCACGACGCATGTCACCACGAAACAGGTAAATATGGTATGTTATTATACGGAGACACAGAGTGATGCATCAATTTTGCTCACAATTTTAACCTTCAATCAGTGTTGGGTAAGTTACTTTACTCGTTTATTCAGAGATAAAATTCTAACGAAATTACTTTTATTTTCAAACATAAGTACTTTTTTTTACTCACATAAAGACTACATTTTAACATGCTTAAATTTTCGAAAAAAACTTTGATATTACAAAATATTTTACTTTGAGGCTTGAGTTAGGTACCTAGCTATACTCAACACTACTTACAGCAAACTAAATTTGGATTTTCCATCAAAAAGTAATCAAAAATATTTTTTAGGCACTCAAATCGAAAATTTTTATAACTGATATCAATACCCGTCTTACGGATAGCAATACGAAAGAAGAGGTAACGTTATGTTGTACATTTATATATATTTATTATATCAGTTACAATAATAGGTAATTATAAACGTTCCAATTGGTTTTAGTTACGATTGTTTTTGGATGAATTATGCGGTCGTTCGGTGGAGTTCACGACCTTCGATATGTTTATTATTAATACACGTCTCATAACTTCTGTAAGTTAAACCCTGTTTGAATTTAGATTATTGAATTTCACATATAATTTATCAGTGATCACTGATCTACTATCTGCAGTCATCACCAGTAAAATCGTACAATGCATGCGATAGTTAAAGTGTATTTGTTTGTAGTTTTGAACACTTTCGTCGGACGCGTGGTTGTATTGTCCTGTTTAACCCGACTTAAAATGGAATTTAAAAAATATATTTATTTCAATTTTTAAACATGTGTAATACATTTTAATTATTATTTTAAGTAATTAGTTTAATAATATTAAGTCCTAATAATATAATAGTTTAAAATTTTAAAGTCCCCTTATTTTTTAATATGTATCTACTTCATAGTTATTCATAATTTATTTAAGTTAGTGTTATTTTAAATATAAGCATGTAGGCAACTGACATTTATCTTGTATCGAATAATAATTGTCTATACTGTGTTAACCGTGATGATATAAGGTTAGGTGATGATATAAGCAATATTAGCTACCTAGATACTAATGGAAGATCAATATTTGTAATTTTAATTTGTAATGTGGTTTGGGATCTATTAAGAAAATTATGATACAAAACAAGCTATTTGGTGATCAATAACAATTGTTTGAAGACTTTACATTTGTACATAAAAATGTTCATAAAACTATTTCTTTTATTAAATTAAAAATATAGACATTTTAGTTTTAAAAAATAATGAAAATTACTAGGATAAATATAATACAATTTGTTTAATATTAAATGAATAGAAATATTTTAAAATATTGTAATGTTCTTAATATATACTAAATAACCATATAGGTATTATATATAACAGAAGTACAGACATTCAGTGTATAGATTATTTTAAACTTATGAACACTAAAAAAATCCAAAATCAAATTTACTTAAGATGTATGAAATATATGCAGAAAATCACTGAAAAATGATAAATGATTCTGTAATTGTAAACGACAATAGTAGGTATAAGATCAATCGATTGTATTGTGATACTATAGTGGAATTATCAGTGTTGAGTAGTAAACTAACGCAAATTACAAATTACTGTAACGCAATTACTTTTTCAGTAATTTCATTACATTTTACTTAAAGTAACTCAATTGTAACAAAATTAATTTTAAAGAGTAACTTTTATGAAGTAACGCACTAACGCGTTGTTTTCCAAGTTATTAAAATAATAGTTTTGAAATTTGAATGTATTACAGGTATAAGGATATCCCATAAAAATTAAAAATCAATTATATTTATTTTTAATTCCGATAATAGTTAACAATATTACTAAACATTCCAGGAATAAAATATATTATCACTTTATTAAAAGAAAGAAAAGAGTTCGATTTAAAAATAAAATGTAATAAAAATTAATTATGATTTATGACTTATGACCATAACGCCATATAGGTGAGATGATTGTACCATTTGTACATAATACTAAAATAGGTCTATTATCACTAGGTCTATGATTGTAAAATTTAATATACATAATAATTATGGAATCCTATGAATTGAATATGGTTAAAAAAATGATAAAAAAAAGTAACGTTATTTGTAACGCACTACTTTATTAATGAAAAAGTAATGTAACGTGATAAAAATAATTTTAGGTAACGCAAATGTAATAAAAATAAAAATATTTGAAGTAACGAGTAACGTAATTTTATTACTTTTTAAAAGTAATTTACCCAACACTGGGAATTATAATAAATATTGTATGTATTTTTTTTTCATATTAATCGAACACAATCGTATATGCGTATCCATTTCTATTCGATTGTACAATATATTTTTATCCGTAGGTACCTATATATTTTTCTGAGACTTTCAGTTTAGTAAAATTATTACTTAAAATTAAAATTTAACATGTTATAAAACGGCAGTAGATAAATGAAAATGTCACAAGACCAACATTGAACACCCGCCCGTCCGACATATCCGTCGGTTTTCTTTTCTTATCACAATGAGGTAATCCACTTTCTTTATTCTGAATGTCAACTCAGTATCTTAATTAAAATTTTTTTAGACCCCAATGTAGGAACTACGGAAATGAGTATTTGCGTACCAGACGAAGATATACCTACCTAAATTGGAGTTTATACGTAAATACAAAATATATCCCTTCAAACCTGACATATATAATACGAAGTCAGAAAACCTAAACTAATTTGTTTGTGTAGTGCTTGTCTCTTCCATCTAAATTTCAACAATGATACTAATTCATTGTTTTTTTTTTAATTTACTAGGCCATCGTGACGGGTACAACTTATCTCATTATATTGTTCCAGTTTCAATAAATTAAGGATCAAAGCAATTATCTTTAAATAGTACTATTGTATGTCATCATTAATAAATAAGTTATTCACAAAATATTAATGTGTAATCAAAAATATAAAACAGGAGACGTCACCCTTGCATATAGTACTTATAGTACTTACGTTTCAAGTACCAACCTCTTTGAATAATTAATAACTGTGATGAATAATATGTTACATTTCAAATGTGTTTAAAGTTATAAGAAAAACAATTTTGATTAAATACTGTGTATTTAATTTTTAGTTTCTATTTCCAAGGATATTTTATAATTTATTTATGTAATATTATTAACTATTTATTTTTCTATGAGTAGAACTAATTTTTGTAAAAAACCATAGCATATAATAATATTATACGTCTGTACTATATTATATTATTGTTAATACCTACCTATTCCTAAACAATTTCAATAAATAAATGTAGGAATGATTAAATCTTTAAGACACGTGATATAATATGAAAACTAATTAAAATGCCATTTTATAATATTACAAATACCTAAGATGACAAAATTTGTATTTTTTATATTTAATATGATCAATTGTAATGTTAAATACTTAGTCAACATATTGTTATTAATTACTGTAAATACTGTAGTGGTTACTTAATTGTATTCATTTAAGTATACTACTACGTCCTGCCAAATAGTTAAGCAATATGTCGACTAAGTATTTAACATTACAATTGATCCTATTTGTCATCATAGGTATTTGTAATATTATAAAATGGCATTTTAATTAGTTTTCATATTATATCACGTCTTTTAAAGATTTAACCATTACTTAATTTATTTTTTTTTTTAACTTAGCTTTTTTTTTACACGGAGTTATAACGAAGTGTTTTTGGTGTGATATCAGCTATTTTTTGTATGAAATAAGTCGCGATTTTATTTAACTGTATATAATAATAATAATAATAATAATAATCCATATAGCATGCATCGTTGGCCTCCTGTTGTTATATCTTTTTTTCTATTTTAGTTTTTTTTTCTAAAACTAATATAAACATTATATCGTTACATCTAACCCATATTTTATTATTATGTTTAATAATTGATGTGTAATGTGCTTGAGACTTGAGTCATGGATGGACCATGATGGCAAATCACAGAATTAAGAGCATATGATTTGCCATTGACCTTAATTGTTGCCACGGGTAATGAATTCATCACCAGATTGCTTATTTTATTTTATTATTGTTCCAAGTTTTCAGCATAATAATATAATACCTGGATTACGAATTCACTAAACAATCACAGTCGTTGAGTCGTCAGCACGATTTAAGATAGTACCTATGATAGGTACTATATAATCCATATAGGTATACGAAATGGTATTATGGTTGCCGGCGACCGGCATCCGAGAGACCACGCCGTCGTCGTAGTACGTAGTCGTCGCACAGTGTATTAAAATCGAAAATAGCTGGCCAAAAATAGATATTAATTATTATTATTAATTATAATTATTATATGCAATTTTTATTTTTATTTGTCATCAATTCGTTCAGATGAGTAATTTTATATTATGTATTATGGTATTGTACTTTTCAACCGTTTATTAAATTTTTACCCCTTATGTTTAATTTTTTTTAAATTATAAAGTTCTTATGTTTTCGATAAAAATAATATTAATCATTGTTTTCTTAAATATACACATATTTACTGTAAATATAATTGTACAAGTTAAGTAGGTACATTGATAATTAACTGTATGCATTTTAATTTAGGTATATTTTTAATTAATTGAGAATTGATAAATAATTTTTGTATATTTTTAATCGTCTTATAGGTTTGCTAGTGCGATGTCCAATATTTCGGGCCTATGTAGTGGATTGTAGGGGTGATGTTTTGGAGAGTCTGGTGCTTAGATGGAGTAGGTGTTGGACGATTCCATTTGTTGTAGGAGATTTCCGCCTGCCTGATTTGTGGTGCGGCAGTTCCAGGACTGGTTTTTTGCATTTAAGTCTCCTGCTCCTAGAAAGAGGCCTCCCTGGTTGGTCAGGGTGTCCAGATAATTTGTTTGCAGAGGAGTATAGCAGTACTTGGGCGCTACATCTGGTGATTTGGTACATTAGATAGAAGCATAAGCGTCGCCACATTTTACGCATCGTGCAGAGTGACCACATTGGAGAGAAGAATGGTCGAAGTTTTGACATTTATAGCATTGTGTCGGTGATGATGATCTTAACATTGACAAAGAAGAGTTTCGATATTTGGTAAATTTCTTTGGCTTGATCAATATTGGCTAGACAATTTTTGAAGAATGCTCGGATTAACGTGGGTCCAAAACCATTGGATTCGATTTCTTCAGTTATTTCCTGGTTGGATATATCTAGCGGGATACCTTTAATGACAAGTTTTAGGGTTCGTTGACTTGGAAAGGCGTGAGTGTGATAACATACTTTATCCTGGATTGAAACTAGGAAGGAGCAAAAACTAATTTTGTCATGGCAGTTTAGTCGAATTTCGTTTGGCTTTGACGTAGTTTTTGCTTCCACATATACATATTGTAAATTTATTTTGCTACTACTAGCCATCGATATTCAGGTCTTGTTGACAGAAAAATTGGTGGTATTCTTTTGGTTTTGATGGAGTTGGTATTTTTTTCCCGATTTGTAGGGTCACTGATATTGTTTGACGGTTTGGTTTCGGTCTCCTCTATGGAGGAGTCTTGGCTGCTATTTTCAGAGTTTGAAATTGTATGGATGGATGCAAGATCATTTTCCGAGGTTATGAAAATTGCAGATTCCGTGGACTTGTTGAGGACTCCGTGGACATCATTGGTAATCTGGGCTTCGGGTATCGTCAGTAGTGGTTTTTTTTTTACTTTTTGTTGTTGTTTTTCGGAGAGGAACCGTTTTGTTTCCTGGTTCACGCCATGGTGTGCTGATTGGATTACCTATGCTTCGATGGACTTTTGGCCAGCCATTTTCGATTTTAAAACACTGTGCGCCACCGCGACCGACGCGATGAGAGTAGCGGGGATGGATAAGCGGTTTTAAAAATACTTGAACATTTTTGCTTATCAACTATAAATTATAAATTATAAACTATCTAACCAATCTGCTAGCGAGTTCCTCTGTCCCCATCTGCACAATATTTGTGATCGATTGATACCTTATCCGACTTTATATGTTCAGCCGTTTGCCCTGTAAAGGCTTACAAAGGATTGATATAAATTAGGACGGTTTTTCAATGTTAGGTAAAACTCGGTTTCCTGTTAATATATGTAAGTGGCATTTTTACTTAGTTTCGCGCCACTACCGTCGAGCTGGATAAATAAACAAAAATATTATTTTATTCGTTGTGTACTTGTATATAATAACAACGAAACTGGCTGTTGTCCAATATTATAGTGTAAAAGAAATCTTAAGACTAAAATATATATTATCATTAATGCAGACCACGATTATAGATCTTGTATACTATGATTATAGGTATTCTATAATCTATAATCGACAATCGTAATGTAGATTATAGACTATAGTGTGCCTACTAAACTAAAAGAATAATAATAGAAAAGAGTAATAACAAAATAGAATATAATTAACATTTTTTTTATTTTAATGAAACATTTTTTAAACTTTAAAATGGCCAATCACATCAATAATTGTTCAATCATATTTTTACAAAAATAACCAAAAATTTAAAATTCATATCCATGTAAAAATATTTAGTGTGTCTACTGTCTAGACGTCTAGTGCATGCCTACCTACTAATATACTTATATTTAACATAACTAAAATGTTAAACATATTTATTTACAATTACAATTAATATTAAGTAAGTATCCACATATATTTACTAACTAGGTACCTTTACGGCTATACCTACGAACTACGATATATATAATATTATCATTATATAATTTACCTCATATTATATTCGTACCTATATTATACTTTATTGATATTACAGTTTTAAAATATTACCTAATTTAAGGGTCAAAGAACCTAAAGTTATTAATTTTACCACTTAAGGAACAGCGATAACGAAATATTCGGTTAGTAAACAACAATAATGTTTACGTAGAAATAACGATAACTACATCGTAAAATGTATAGTGCTTAAAATGAAATGCAGACAGCTGTCGATCAAATGTAATCCATCCCTTGGATTTAACTATTTTATTTAGGGTCAAAAGTTATTATTATTACGCATTACAATTATAATATCATTAACATAATATTTTCTTGTACAAACATATTGTTTGAGGTGTATTAGGTACCTATTTTATATATTTTAATCCAAATTACGTGACAATCGTGGAATAATAAAATGATTAATTGTACCTACCATTGACGTGTTTACGGTGGCCGGAGGGAGGGAGCGGGGATGGCCTATGTCCAACCCTGCGAACAATACCTTAATTGTTATACATTGCTACTTAAATGAAATACATTGTATTAGCCATGGCATCGCTAGTTTTGGTTTTTATATAACGATAACAATAGATTATAAATTATAAAACGGTGGGCAAATGGCTGTGCAGGACAGGGGCGGATCTGAAGCTTGGTTAAAGGGGGGGCGAATTTTGAATAGGAATATCCATGAGTAGTATACAAGTACGATGAGTATGGTCAAACCTGGTGGGTGGAGGGGGTCACCACCCCCAGAAATCCGTATATCAATCCGGATCAAATTGTATAATCCGTATACTATAAAATTATCAGTATACATTTTTTCAACCCCTCCCCCACCAAGAAAAAGCATTTCCTGCTGTTGCCCCGGCAATGAAGACTTGACCGTAGTTCAAGTAATTTATGGAAAAAGAAGTACAACACTTAAAATTAATTGTAGGTACATTTATTTGTTTTAAATAGCTATAACAATATATTGTTCAAAAATAGGTATAATTATAATAATAATTGTACGTTTCTTTTTTTTTTCATTTGCAAATCTATTAATTACTTCTTCTATGTTTACAATAATATCTTTATGCGTGTGCAATAAAGCCAAGCCATTCAGCCTATGTTCGCTCATTCGCGATCTCAACCATGTTTTTGATCTACAAATTAAAAACAATAAGAAATAAGCAAACATGCAAAGCATTTCGGAATTTAGATGCAGATATTTTCATCTTAAATTAAAAAGCAAAATTTTATTTTTATCATTAGTTATCTGACCTGCGCAAAGTGGAAAAACTGCGTTCAGCGGAAGCAGTACTAATTGGCAAACTAGCAAGTATAGAAATCAAGGATTTAATTGTTGGGAAGATTATCCCACAACATGCATCCAAAGTATCAAAAACATTTTTTGGTAATATATCACCTAAAGCGGAATGAAAATTGTAATTCTGAAATAGTCTTCACAATTATTTATGTTATTCGGATTTGATCTATTTTTTTGATGAGCTGACACCCTAGGCATTTTCAAATGAATGTCCAATTCATCCATCAACATTTTGCATTCATTATAAATAAATAATCACACTATCACAGATAATTTCTATGTATAAATCATAGATATATTATATTATTAATAATATAAATCTATGGTATAAATACTTTAAATAAATATGTCATTGTCTGATAAAGTTGTTATCATTGTTATCATGAAACATAAAGAGAAAAAAAAATAATAATTAATAATTATTAATTTATAAAAATGTATTGTGTAATGTGTAAATCTATAAATCGAAAATATTAAATAAATCTGTAATAAAAAAAAAGCCCAAGGGGGGGGGGTGATCGCCACGTCGCCCCCCCCCATAGATCCGCCACTGGTGCAGGAAGACGTGTCGAATGTGTGATGTATCATTGTATACGAAAAACGATTCTGAGTGGATCGTTGGTCTGTCAGTCCATATCAAAAAGTATATTTCATGAAATGTTTTTTGATATCACAACAAAATTAAAGTAACTTATTTTTCTATTAGTAGGTGTCATGGTAGATTGATTTAATTTTTTACTTAAACATTGCACGCGCACTACACGTAATATTACACGTAACAACAGTATAGGTAGTAGGTACCTACCAATTTTAAATTATTATTATAATGGTGTAACTACATGTTTCTATAATAATATTTTATTATTGTTATTAAATTCTGAGTTAAGACCACCTTATCATAAGGCAGTGTAAATAGGATCATGGTATAATTTATAAATACCTATGTATATTAGCTTAAGATTAATCTAAACACTATGGATTTTCCTGATAGTAAAATGTATAATATAGGTAGGTAAGTACCACGAATAGAGTTATTAATATGAAATATTTCACATGCAATTTTCACTTCGAAAGATTTCAAACTTGAAACTTACCTATATCCTTCTTTAAATATTTCAAAAAATATTTTTAATTATGTGTTTTTTTTTATGTTTCATGCAATCGTCACTAAATGGTCTTACCTGATTAGTGATTATCAATTAATACATCACGATGTAAAGAAGATAGTATATAGTATAAGATAATCTATAATTATTATATTACATATATATTCATATAATGTACGCTGAAGAAATATTTCTAAGACATTTTCCACTTAACATTTAACTAAGTAAAGATGTTTACTACACTTTCTACTATAATTTTAAATTTTTTATATTTCATAAAAGTTCAATATTTTAGATTCTGAGTGAAACGATGAATGTATTGATTTTACAATGATGTGTGTTTTTTTATTTTTTTATTTTTTTTGTATCTGTGTACACGATAAGTAGTCAAAATAATGCTTCGATTTTCGACTTCAGTATCTTGTTCGATTGGAAAGTGAATATCGTTGGTGCATTGGGGAGGTCAAAATTTAAATTTCCCAGTAGTTTTCACAAGCGCCGGGAAAAACAACACAAAAATTAAGGAAAAACGGGAATTTTTACGCAAAATTGATTTTCCAAAAAATTGATTTTGGTTATTGGTGTTACTCTAAAACAAATGAACGTATATACATGAAATTTTCACTGGTTGTTTATATTTGCATTTTCTATACACGATAACATTTTCAAAATATTTTGATTTATTTTGAACTGTTTAGGGACATTTTCATTTTCCATTTTTTTTTAGTTTTTTTTCTAAAAATATCAATAAAATTTTATTTGTTGGTTGCGAAAGCTTGAAAATTTAATAGAAGGCTCCTAATATGTTGTTTCAAAGGCAGACGAAAAATATTAAAAATCCTTAGTCACAATTTTTTTTATAAGCATTTAAAGTTCAAAAATTGACAAAATATGGAAAAATCACGAAAATTAGCAAATTATTTTGAGTTAAGAATTCTTAAAAATTTTTCTTTTTAAATCTAAGATTTGAAAATCTAATACAAGATTACTCATAAGATTGTCTACCTTTATCAATAAAAAAATTTCTACCGGAAAGTCAAATTAAATTTTTATGAGCGTTTGAAATTCAAATTTTTACAACATTGGATATTCACTCGATTTCTCATGTGGCAATTTCCTTTTTTTGTTGTAATTAAAAAACGAATTACTGTAGATACATGAAAATTTCACTGAATGTTTATATTAGCATTTCCTATACACCCTACAATTTTGAAAATATTTTGACACTTTTTGAGCCGTTTACGGACATTTTCAGTTTT